TCTCTCTCTCTCTCTCTCTCTCTCTCTCGTCGCGACGAACGTTCCGCCGTCATCTTGCTTTTTTCATGCCGTGAACGGCCGGTGGCAGCCGCGGACGGGAGTTTTTCGGTTCACTGGCAGTTAATGAACATCGGACGCGTGCCGTCGATCCCACAAAATCTGTCCACCGACGGTGGCTTCGCACCGAAATAGAATGGCTCGTCCCTTCGTTCGCGACTGGTGGATATCGTTGCGGCGCTTCTGTTTTCGTTTTCGGTTTGTTTTGCTCCGTTGACAAACGTGATTAATCGGCGCAATATGCGGCCAGTGATAGCGTGTATTACTCGGAAACGATGTTACCGTTGCCGATGTAACGGAAGAAAAAAAGGAACCCCCGACGGCGCACGCTGGCCTGGAAAACGGTGATTTACGGCCAAAATACCATTCTTACGCCTCCATGTTTGCACGAACTGCTCTTTTTCCCCCAAATAAGGACTCTTTGAATTCTCGAAATTCAGGATATTATTATTAATATTATTTCGAATTTCATAGTTTTCAGTGCGCGGCTGAAAAATATTCCCTCTCGAAACAAATGAAAGAAGAATATCAAATGGTGCAAAACTATAAGATTGGAATTTTTTTTTTTTCCCCCAATTGAACAGCTTAATTATTCCTCGCAGAACGTTGAAGTGCGAATGTGTGCTATATTCTCATATGTATTTATTTTTTAGAAAATATCAAATCTCAGAAACATTTTTAATATAAATAATTGAAGTCATTTAGATTTATTTAATAGTGATATATACAGGGTGTCCCAAAATTATGGTACTTCCGGAAAATTAGAGATGAGGTCATTCGAAGCAACTTTTTCTTTTACAAAGATTTTTTCCGAGGCATCGTTAACGAGTTATTAACGAAAAGCGCTGACCAATGAGAGGCGAGCTCGGTTGCCGCGAGGCGGCCCAGCCAACGAGCGCGCGGAACCCAGTTCCGCTCATTGGCTCGGCCGCTTAGCGTTGTGCGAGCTCACGTCTCATTGGTCGCTGTTTTTCGTTAATAACTCGTAAACGAAGCCTCGTAGAACATTTTCGCTAAGGAAAAAGTTGCTTCAAATCACCTTAGGAACACCTCATTTTCCAAAAATAGCATAATTTTGGTATTTATAAATTATTGTATATATAAATTATTTATATTTGTATATATTTATGTATTTATAAACAATATTGCTGACTTCATAATATTCTAACTGCGGCCGAGACAAATTCGATGGCGTACTATACTATTACCTTAAACCCTCGTAATAACGCTAAAATAATTTTAGACACGACAAACGGATTTCCGAGTCCAGCGTGGAGCGTGCGAAAAAACGTGCACGAACGTTTTTTCAAAGCAACTGTTGTATCTCTCGCGGAACTGTTTACAAAAAAAGAAAAAGAAAAGAGAGATATTTTTATTTGATACGAGTTACTCGAAAGTTGATCGTAATACATTTACGACGGACACTTAAGCTCCGATGGTAGATACTTTACGTATTTTTGTGGAAAATATTTGAAAGGCAATGTAAAATGTGAATCAGAGGTCACGGACGACAACGACGACGACGACGACGAGATCGCAACCGCGTATCGAGCTGTTCTGGATCTTCTTCCACGTATTTCGACTCGCGTCGAAGAAAAAATAAATCTTCGCAAGGCTTTCCTGCATGCATCGGCCAAGAAGAGAAACTTGAAATCATTTTCCAGCTCTGAAGAACGCCGGACTTGACCTATGCCTCCGAATTTGTTTGTGTGTATCTCATCCTTTTGCTTCATTCATTTGCTACACACACACAGAATGAAAAATAATGTCTTTGACGAATAGCAGACTGCGAAATTTTATAGAGTATTTAATTTAATTTTTATAATGATCGATTTCGAATTTTTCATTTTACTATTGAGGCACCTTTGCGGGACTTTTTTGAAGAAATTAATTCGATTGTGATCTTTGAACCGTGGATTTTATGTATTTGTCACAAAAATGTGCGGATGGGGACACAAAACACTGATACTCTTACATAAATTTAATGATTTGATTATTTTCTTATTCTTATATTATAATATACAATATTATATTTATTTATTCTTATATTATATTATTATATATTATTATTATACTATAATATTGTATATTATAATATTATTATTATACTATGATATTGTATATTATAATATTATTCTTATATTATAATACTTATAACTATTGTTCTTATATTAAAATAATTATAAAATCAAATACTTATTATAATTCATTAAAACTATTCAAAACGTAACCAAATGTTTATGCAGTTTCTGTTTCATGCAACGGCTGCACAAAATTTTTATTTTGCATAGAGTCTAGTGATCATGTTTCTAGTAGAAAAATCGCCTATCAATTGCTGAGATCTGGTAATTTATATAAAATATTTTTTGAAAATCCTATTTTTGTTCCTTAGCTTTCAATGATGGAATGAATCGAAGATGCTAATGCGCATGGAAGAGTTCGATATTATAAACATCGTTGAAAAAAAGGGATCTTCGCTTAATAGAGCAAAGGAGAGTTTCGTTGTTAATCTTCGACCTTCCTGAGCGGGAATCGGCTTCGAGATGTGTGTACGCTCTTATATTTAGAGAACCACCTTTGAAGTATATACGGACATTTACAGTACCTCTTTGTGGAACTTGAGAAGGGTCGGATGATCGGAGGGAATAATTAAAAGAATCATTCTTAGAACAGGAGCTTTTCAAAATAATTACCGGCTCTCGACTATTCTTTACGAGCCGTCATTTACAATCTCGCGTTCAACAGATGTGAATTCCGTTCATCGTTTACTCTTGCCCAATGCATTTCGTACACATTTCGTACGGGTTGTCCAATTTTCTTCGAAACGTTCGCGCTCGTACAAATATTACCTAACCTAAAGGCACCGATCATATCAGGCAGAAGAATATTCAATCCCTTCAGGGATTTTGTTAACTTACTTAGTAAAACGGAAACAATGATTAAAACGATATTAATTCGAATATACATTCGAAACAAACAATATTCGACTTTTTATCATTACATAACATTACGAAATTACACGGTGTAGGTACGGTGTAAGGGCAATTTGTTACCAGAAGCTCGTTAATATTATACCAAAAGTCTGCCGTAAAATTGAAAGAATTAAAAACCATCGAGAAGCATCATTTAAGATCAACGATAACAGTATAATCGATATTCATTTTGTTGTTAATTCTCTACAGCGAACGTACGTTGTGCCATGCTCGATGCTTAGTACAGTAATGTCTCCCTTACTGACGCTAAGATTGTCCACTAAAATGTACAATTTGGGAAGAGGAGATACGATTATTCGAACCTTGCAACTCATTTTTATAATTGTTGACAATCGGTAACTATAAAAACGAGCCGTCCATTATTTTCGTCGATGTCTCAAATTTTTGAAAAATTTGTTGATACTCCAACAGCTATAACTTCGTGCAAAAATATCGCACAACAATGGAACTCGGCTCATTTTAAAGCCCGAAGTGTCTACTTTCGGGAGCTGTCCGTCGATTCCTTCGACAATTCGCGACACATGGATGGGAAACCTCGTTCCAGACTTTGCACAAAATTTCTAACCTCCGAAACATCGACGATATTCAAAATACTGTAACTTCGTGAATAAAAATCGTGGAACAACGAAACTAAACTCATTTTAAAGCCTGAAATCTCTACCTTTTTACTGTGTAATTCATCTTCGTCGGAAAAATTGTTCGGAGACACGGCACACGGGAAGTTGTTACAATTTATATCGGACGAAGTAGAAACGAGTCATTTAGAGAATCTTGGAATTAGAAACGGCGTACAGTAATGTCTCCCTTACTGACGCTCAGATTGTCCCCAAAAATGGACAATTTGGGAAGAGAAGATACGATTATTCGAGCCTTGCGGCTCGTTTTTATAATTGTGGACAATTTATAACTATAAAAATAAACCGAAAGGCTCGAATAATCGTATCTCCTCTTCCCAAATTGTTCATTTTTGTGCGCAATCTGGGTGTCAATTAGAGAGACATTACTTTACCCGTTTTATCTCCTTCGGAATTCTTCAGGAACGGCATAACGTAACTCTTTCGAGCAGTAGGATAGCAACGGCTGACTCAAAAGGTCCATCTAATTTTACTAAGCAAGGTCTGGGCTAGATTCCCATTTCCCAATTAAATTCGTGGACGCGTCACGATGATAAGAGAGAATATATTCGTGCCGAACGAACACGAAGCGATGACTAAATCGTTATTAACAATCAACCAATTTAGATGCACAACCGAGATCTGATTTATGAAAACGCCGGGATCGCACCTATTCAAACGTTGCACGTGTTTTTCGTTGCAACACACGCTTGAACAAATAAATGTGTGTTCAGTAATTCGACACGATAATGTTCGTCTCGGTTCATTCTATTAGGTCGGGGAATAAGTTCGTAGCGTTTTTATATTTTCTTTTATTTTACAACGATTTTTTGCTGATCGACAAAGTATATAATATTCACTCGATAGAGCTCTTTCTGCTCTATAAAACTGTGCTAATCGTCTTTTTGAGTAATTTAATTTTTTATTACTTTCGAGGCTTAGAAATGGAATATCCATGAGGTAAAAAGCAACATTTTTTTTCTTCGCTTTTCATCGGGGCCAAAAAGCTGCCGAAGCAGCCAGGGACATTTGCAACGTATACGGAGAAGGTGTCATAGGCGAGTCTACAGCACGGAAATGGTAGCGAAGTTCAAAAATGGCGATTTCGACGTCGACGACACGCCCCGCGGCGGAAGACCTTCCGAATTCGACGAAGAGCGTCTCAAAGTACTTTCGAAGGGGGACGGTCACCAAACAAGTGGTGAATTGGCCGAAAAAATGAACTGCAATCATAAAACGATTCTCAATCATCTTCATTCAATGGGACTTGCCGAAAAATTGGGAGCCTGTGTGGCTCGCGAGCTTAACAAAAACAACAAAGAAAATAGTCTTTGATAAAACCGCTACGAACTTATTCCCCAACCCAATAAAATCGAGAACCTCGTCCCGACGGCTTTAGTAGATTTTTTTGGCATTCGGTTACGTTACCTACGGTAACGTAAACCGGGTGTCCTTTCATAGTGACTCGCGCGAAGCCGACCGTTGTTTACATCGTCTTCGTGGAATTGCGTGTGTGTTTGAAAAATACACGCGCGGACGGAGCGACGCGCGACATCGACTGGACTGCCTTCTTTTCGACAGTTAGTACGTAATCCGCGGACTCTAACCGCAAACTAGAATGACGCGACGGATCCGTGTACGAACGAATTTCCATAACCGAGCGAATAATTCCGTCACGCGCCAAAAGAACGAGGCAAAAGCGTCGTAAAGAACGAAGCGAAAGTGTTAAAGGAAAATAGCGCCGCGTACCTCTTTTCCATGCAGCTCGGTGGCTCTATTAATAGGATTCCGGCGAGGCAAGTGTTAAAATCGCGTAGGCTCGTTGCTCACTCCCGGCTAAACTAAGTGCACGCACAACATTGTGGAAAGAGCGACATGCACACGGTGGTCACAGGAGGCTTCGCCACCGGGCGAGCAAACAGAGGCGGCCGACGCGACACCCTTCCGAGCGCGTGCAGCAGCGGCGCGGCAGCTGAAGAAGAAGAAGACGACGACGACGAAGAAGAAGAAGAAGATGGTGGCGGTCGCGGCGGAGGGCGAGGGAGGCTGCGCTCCTATATGTAGCCCCGAATCTTAGTCGGAGCAACTATTACGCCCGAAAACCTCGAGGCGGACGCACCCCTGTGTTATTCGCAACGGGTACAGGGCACACGGTCGACGACATCCGCGCGAGACGTAGAGCTGCTTTTTATTTATTTACACGGGAAATTTACGCACCTCTTTTTTTTTTCTTCCATCCTCCTCGGAATCACGTGCCGTCGTCGTTGCGCCGTGACCGATCGAATTCACCACCGGACACGTCCCAGTGATATCTATCTCCTGTGTGTGACAGTGCCGATTTGGAACCGAGGTATGGTTTGTGTGATCGTCCGTTCGGGACTGTAAAGAGAGAGACCAAGGAATACGAAAATGCCGCGGGCCTTCCTGATCACGCATCGCCGGTACAACGGTGTCGACGAGGAGTTCGACGGTTCCGGAAGAGGTACGTTCGCTTTCGTCGTATGCTCGCGAGCCGATCGCGGCCCGTGCCAGGATCTTTCTCGATCTTCCGCGTTCTGATCGGATTTTTCCTAATGATACCGCGGCAGCGAGGTCGCGCGTCCCGCTTGCAAGCTTGCCTCCTCGTCCGAGCGCATCTCGTTCTTTTTAATCGGACAAACGTTGCTTGTCATCGGCACCGTTGTGCCGGCCGATCGTATTTCTACAGAAGATGAAAATTACAGTTTTTTACAGAAGAAAAATGTAGTATCTCTTGCGCGCGAACGAAGCACCGTGCGGATAGGTGTATCGAGGCCCGTTCTTCGCCTCCTCGAACTCGTCGGATCCGAGCGGATTAGCATTTGTCCGCGGCTCTGGTTCTATAAACAAATGCCGAACCTAAATTACACGGCAACACGAAAATCTCGGGATGCTTGCACTTTAAACGGCCGGTCGTAAATCAGACTAGCGCTGTTCCGCGTATCGGACAGCCGAAAGACGGTTTATTACACAGCGAGCGGAAAGGCGGATGTTCTCGAAACAACCAGACCACCCGACACCGTGCATTTTTATCGTTCGATCAAGTTATTTCTCTGCGACCGGCGCGGCGGCGGCAGCGGCGCTGTAAGGTCAGCGGTAACAAAAGAATGCGGCGCGAGCACGGAAACGCGAACGACGGCGGGCTTTTGCGGGGGAAAATTCGGTTCGCCGAGGTGCGTCCGCGTCGATCTCGTTGACCTCGATCGAAAGCTCCGAGCCAAGAGAGCGCACGCTGGTCGTTGCTTCGTGATTAAGGTGGCACGACGCGCGCGGTGTTTCAAGAATAGGAGACGCTAGATGCGTCACGAAGCTCTCGCGCGGCGCATACCGTCGCGATGCCGTGAACCCCTCCAAAGCATTTCGGTGGCGAACGCGCGTACACAGAAATACGCAGAAAATACGAGGGCCCGAGGGAGAAAGAACAACAAGAGGAAGCGAGAGAGAGAGGAAGAGCCGCTCTATTTCCGTTCTCCCCAAAAGCGGAGCAGGCGGTAGACTCGCGAAGGTGCTTCGCTCGTCCACCGTTTCTATCCCGTAAACGTGAAACTTTTCTCGGCGTTGAGCAGTTTCCGCGTGTCACGGCTGTCGCGCAGGAGCACAGTAATGTCTCCCTAACTGGCGCTAAGATTGTGCAGATTACTGTACAGTAATGCCTCTCTAATTCTCGCTCGAATAATCGTATCTTCTCTTCTAAAAATTGTCGATTTTTATGGACAATTGGAGCCTCAATTAGAGAGACATTACTGTACAATAATGTCTTCCTTACTGACGCTCAGATTGTCCACTAGATTGGATAATTTGGGAAGAGGAGATACGATTATTCGAGCCTTGCAACTCGTTCTTATAATCGTTGACAATTCGTGACTATAAAAACGAACCGCAAGGCTCGAATAATCGTATCTTCTCTTCCCAAATTATCCATTTTTGTGGACAACCTGAGCGTCAATTAGAGCGTCATTACTTTACCTCTTTCTCCGTTTCACGATTGTTCTAATGCCCTCGCTATTTAGTCCAAGAAAAAGATCGCATACGATTCAGGTGAGAATGATAAAGGCGAAGTCGGTCGTTGGTGGGAAAAAAGGCATCGCAGAATTAGAACACGGATTTGTACGTTTCTCGTTCGAACCTTGACCACCATGGCGGTNTTTAAACGGCCGGTCGTAAATCAGACTAGCGCTGTTCCGCGTATCGGACAGCCGAAAGACGGTTTATTACACAGCGAGCGGAAAGGCGGATGTTCTCGAAACAACCAGACCACCCGACACCGTGCATTTTTATCGTTCGATCAAGTTATTTCTCTGCGACCGGCGCGGCGGCGGCAGCGGCGCTGTAAGGTCAGCGGTAACAAAAGAATGCGGCGCGAGCACGGAAACGCGAACGACGGCGGGCTTTTGCGGGGGAAAATTCGGTTCGCCGAGGTGCGTCCGCGTCGATCTCGTTGACCTCGATCGAAAGCTCCGAGCCAAGAGAGCGCACGCTGGTCGTTGCTTCGTGATTAAGGTGGCACGACGCGCGCGGTGTTTCAAGAATAGGAGACGCTAGATGCGTCACGAAGCTCTCGCGCGGCGCATACCGTCGCGATGCCGTGAACCCCTCCAAAGCATTTCGGTGGCGAACGCGCGTACACAGAAATACGCAGAAAATACGAGGGCCCGAGGGAGAAAGAACAACAAGAGGAAGCGAGAGAGAGAGGAAGAGCCGCTCTATTTCCGTTCTCCCCAAAAGCGGAGCAGGCGGTAGACTCGCGAAGGTGCTTCGCTCGTCCACCGTTTCTATCCCGTAAACGTGAAACTTTTCTCGGCGTTGAGCAGTTTCCGCGTGTCACGGCTGTCGCGCAGGAGCACAGTAATGTCTCCCTAACTGGCGCTAAGATTGTGCAGATTACTGTACAGTAATGCCTCTCTAATTCTCGCTCGAATAATCGTATCTTCTCTTCTAAAAATTGTCGATTTTTATGGACAATTGGAGCCTCAATTAGAGAGACATTACTGTACAATAATGTCTTCCTTACTGACGCTCAGATTGTCCACTAGATTGGATAATTTGGGAAGAGGAGATACGATTATTCGAGCCTTGCAACTCGTTCTTATAATCGTTGACAATTCGTGACTATAAAAACGAACCGCAAGGCTCGAATAATCGTATCTTCTCTTCCCAAATTATCCATTTTTGTGGACAACCTGAGCGTCAATTAGAGCGTCATTACTTTACCTCTTTCTCCGTTTCACGATTGTTCTAATGCCCTCGCTATTTAGTCCAAGAAAAAGATCGCATACGATTCAGGTGAGAATGATAAAGGCGAAGTCGGTCGTTGGTGGGAAAAAAGGCATCGCAGAATTAGAACACGGATTTGTACGTTTCTCGTTCGAACCTTGACCACCATGGCGGTTCAACGAAACCTAAATCGTCATCTGCTTTAGCTATTATTAGATTTAGGATGTTTATGCCAATGTACATTTTTAAAAGTGTGCAATCAGCTTCGCGAACGCACAAAGCCGTGGTATATTCATAATGCAGTCTTCCCGAACTAGTGCTCGGTGGTTGGTCGAAAATCGCTTCGAGTAAAATCGTGTCCACCGAAGCTGATTTCATAGTAACATCTCCGGCACCATGGAGAATATTATAATCTTTTTATAGCGCGGCCACACACACAACGAGCAAAGTAAAGGTCGCCTGTATCAATCCGGGGTATCGGATCGAAGTATCGATCGGAATTTCCGCGGGTCCGATCACGAGAATCTTCTGGACGCGGGCCAGACTCGGTCAGACCGTAGGAACCTTGCTAACGATGACAAACGATTCCGCGTGCCGCAATTTGATCGTCTCTAAATTTCGCGGGACCCGCAACAGACCGGCGCTTCTTCCTGCGGTTCGCGCGACAAATTACAAAACTTAGTCGATGATTCGGGTAGCGCGTTTAATGGGCCCCGTCGTTTGCGCAGATTTCAGCCCCGAGAGAGGCGTGAGACTGGCCGACTACAGCGGAAGTCATCCGACGTCCGACGGCGCGAGCGAATGCGGCAGTGAAACATCGTCGGAGTGCCCCGAGGAGCTGTACAATCTGACGAAATTGGCAGAAGTCAGCCTAGCAGCGGCCGCTGGCACGTTGATACATCCCAGCAATGTGATCTATCAGCAGCCGGCCTCGCCCAGGTGCGCTCAATTCTCGGACAGGATCATGGCGCCCCGGTCGAAGCAGCAGGAGCTCCAGTTCCAAGACCACGGGCGGACGATGGAGGACGATCAGACACTTGGGGAGAGGACCAGGCTGTTCTTCGAGAGGATCGAGTCCGAGCGCGAGATCCTGCAGAGCCACTCGGAGAGGAACACGGTCCTGGGCATCCACGTGTCCGCTCATTCTCATCGTCTGCAAGAGGAACGACGGCTACAGGTGTCGGACAATTCGTTAGACAAAACAGAGCTGGACCCTGCCTCGGCGATACCGTCGGCCATACCGCACAGCAGAAGAACGACCTCGACCTCGACGGAGACGTCGAAGTCCGAGGACAACGAAGACCACGAGTGCCCGGATTGCGGAAAGAAGTATTCGACTTCCTCGAACCTGGCCAGACACCGGCAAACACACAGATCCCTCGGTGACAAGAAGGCGAGGCGGTGCCCACACTGCGACAAGGTCTACGTCAGCATGCCTGCGTTCAGCATGCACGTCAGGACGCACAATCAGGGGTGCAAGTGCCATTACTGCGGCAAGTGCTTCTCGAGGCCGTGGTTGCTGCAGGGCCACATACGCACGCACACAGGTAAGACGTCTTATTATGTACATATCACCGAGATCCAGCTATCAGACTGCAAGAACATACCGCCTTCAATTCATATCTTATTTTTACTCAAATGCTTAATCTCCGTCAATAGTATTTTAGTAATGTCACTGTTAGAATTGAAGTCTACTGTTTAAAAATACGTTAGAACTTAAAACAAACTTTTATAATCGCTGTCTGTGTTTTTGTTGTAGGTGAGAAGCCGTTCAAGTGCACGATTTGCAACAAAGCGTTCGCGGACAAGTCGAACCTGCGTGCCCACATTCAAACGCACTCGAATACGAAACCGCACGTGTGTGGCCGTTGCGGAAAAGCGTTCGCCCTGAAGTCGTATCTGTACAAACACGAAGAATCTTCCTGTATGCGTGCCCATCACCGTTCGTCCGCGGAAAGAACGGACGGTAACGATCAGAAAAGTAGTACTACGTCCTCTGTGAAATCGTGTCCGCCATTGCCGTCCTCCTTGAACCGGCTGCCGACGACACCGCCCTGCGTCACCGCATCCCCTACTAGCGTGATAGTACCGCGGCTAGACCTGAACCGCGACCAAAGGAATCCGTCTTCGGCATTCTCCGCGATCATCAGACACACCAGGATACCGGAAGCGCCGTTGAAACGACCCTGCCGGGCGAAAACGCCGGCCGACGAACCGGACAGAAACGTCGCCGATAATCATTCAACGAAGAGCCAAGAATGCGTGTCGCGTATGGTGATCAGAACGTCCGTCATCTCGCCGAATCCGGAACACCTAAGCCGTTTCAGCAACGACAGCCAGAATTCCTCGAGCGGCTTCGATTTCTCCGATCCGACGAGATCCTCCGCGTTCTCCAGACCAACCACGATGACTCTCAACCTGGCCATCGCGTAGAGATCTGCAATGCCGACCATGCATGTACATCCGTGGTAGCTATGTTACCGGGCATCGGTGAAACAGAACTGATTCCGTGGTGCGCCATAAAGCTTATCCTATTTTCACCGGAACAGAAAGAGACGGTCGTGAAAGAATTATTATCGAAACTCGAAGACGTCATTATTTGCTAGCAACTAGTGTCATTCCTATCGATATCGAGATAAGTCCGTTAAGTTTTTTTTCTTTCTTTTTTTTTCTTCTTTTTTAGTAGCAGGAACGTTTGAAATTCTGTCGTGCTGCCGGATAACGCCTCGGCGGCAGCCACCCGTTTTTATAGTCGAACGTAGAAATCAATCATGAATCGAGTAACCACGATCGACAACGATTGCGAGAGACGTACGTTATTCCATACACCTTCCTAATTAGGGACCACCTAGCAGATAGTCGTAGTGAAGATGAAATCGGTGAATCGTCGATTCCTAAATGTCGTGTGCCTTGAACGTTAATCTCGCGTGGACGGATTCTGTTTTCTTCTTGAAAGACACGCCGCGTCGTTATTTAGAGAATAATTTATTGACCTGAAGTGGAAATCCAGTGCCTGCATACGCGTGTTAACTTTAATATTACTCACGTCGATCGAATCCAAAGTTCCATGTGCTCTTCCAGGCAGCTAGAGATTCCTTGATGCTTGATGCTAACGCGTAGTTGATCGTAGAACAACGACGAATGCCGGTCGAGGCCACTGTTTCCATTTGCCGGCCTCGCAGAATAGTTTACGCACTGAAACGGGGCAATTTCATTTCAGAGCTTCCTTCAAATTCGAATCAAATATGAAGTGGACAACTGCTCGCTTTTGATTCCGATACTTGCGTAATGGAGGGGATTGTCGACTTCCCCGACCGTGGCTGCGCATGCGCCGTTACGACACGACGTAGTGCACATAGCGACGCGTAGATCGGCTTTCTGCTACACGGCGCACTCCCACCGCTTCGGTGTTCGTCTTACAGTTGGAGTGGGGAGGTTTGTCGGCGACCTCGCGGAGCGCGCGCACGCTAGAAACACACCCCTATGACGCCGACAAATGGAAACACTAGTTGAGGCGGGCAGAACGAAGAAACGGTTTGGCCATTGAAACTGTATATTTCAATTCTAATTAGCCTCGGTAGAAGTATTTGTACGTTTTGAAAGTTCTCTTTAGAATACCGCCGCGTAGTTTATACATTCGCGAAGAGTGCGCAACGTACGATTTAAACTTAACTCGAACTATCGAATAGTTATCTAAGATTATTCGTCCGGAACGATCGATAGAGAAACGGATAGATGTAATTTCGTGTGTCGGCATGATGGTAGCGAACGTGTACGTCCTAAGACGATAGGTTTTATATTATAATAATGCATTAAACGCGCTTTCTTCTGTCGGTAGAACGCGTATTGTCTGTGATTCGAAGTTTACGGAATTCGACTGCCATATATGCGGTCACGTGGCCCTCTGTTGGTCGTACTGTACAATAAGTAAAGAACCTTCTTTTCTTTCTTCAATCCGTTACCGTCCGATGGTAACTGTCCGAGTGTAAACTAGTCCAATCCCGTATTGCTATTCTAAGCGCTATCCGACGAAATGTGTACAGGCGAGATACACGATCGAATCGTGTAATTAACGCGAAGGTGGAACGTTCGTCGATTAAGAAACTCGAGCGAAAGATTTCGATGCGAACAGGGTAGCGCGAAAATTCGAATAGCAACGGCTATGATAAAAGATTCTTACGTAGTTTATCGATCACATTTTCTTTCCACTTGTATAGTTGTACATTAGAGGAATGTGTTTACGTTAACCAGGAAGCAGCGAAGGCGTGCATGAAATGCGCGTGTCCTAGTCACCGATCTTAAAACGAAGATCGAACATAGGGATCCCGTAATTGTATTGTAATATTCTGTTGTATAGTCGTGTGGGCAAACACGTTGTAAATAGCATTCCCTACGTTACACGTTAGCACTTATCGTTAGATTATCTCGCATTATTAGTCCTTTTAATTAGCGCAATTTAATTTACCGTTGTTTTACGTTTTATGTAATGTGCCATTTGTACACCGGAGTGCCTAAGCAAACATTTTACCAATTTTTCTACGAATTGTAAAAGTATCGTCTACTACAACGAGAAAATATATACATACCGCTATACACGCGTTTTAATATACCGAGTGTGTTTATGTTACCCCTTCCCCCGTAGGAGCGATCGGGTATCGGACGTTATACGAGGCAGAAATTAAGCGAGATAAAGCTATTGGGTTAGTGGGAAAGGCAGCAACATTAGCTTACGATAATGCGATACCCTCGTATTTATTGTGAAAACTGTTTTCACGAGTCGACTTTTACATAGAATCTTCGGCTTAACCTCTTCTTTGATTGTTACCGTTTAATTCCTTACGATAATACAAACTTTGTAAAACCCACATTGGTAGGTCTTGTTATTGTTTTTAAGTTACAAAGCAATATTCGTATAAAGCAATTATAGTTCATACAATAACCGGTGATATGTTTCGATCAAACGTATCGATTTCTTTTCACGAAATTCGCGAAGATAATTAATCCTTTTACGCTGATTAAAGCAGTCCAAGCCGTGCCTTCGTGCTTTCGACGCTATCATGCAGAAATCCTATGAAAAATAGACTATCGCAGAATTGAAATGAAAGACGACTCATCCAACGTTATTCCGTTTTTAGTAATTGGATCTCCTCGTAGAACCGATGAACTATACGATAGGTTAAATAACGTTTCGAAGCGGAACAAACAACGAGTTTCTGTATTTACCAAATGGTTTGGAGTTCATAATTAGGGCAACGAAGGGGAAAGCATCTATCTTAGTCAGTCGACGTTGGCCGCATAAGTCGACTTTAGGCGATATCGTTCACGATTAGATGGACACTTCTGTCCCATAAAGCAAACTGCGAAATATCGTAGAAAATTCGATTGCTCGTAAACCAATACAGTTTCGTGCGAACATAATTATCGGCAACGAAGGCGAATTTCAAATGGCGCGAATACGAATACATATATATAAAACATGTACCGCCTGTAACAATATTTTTTATTTCATTAATTTTGACGCAGATTAGGTTCTCGTGTTATAGAACTGAGATGAAACTTTTTACTAAAAAGAAAGTCAATCTAATCGCAGTCTAGCAAAATTCCATAATGAAAAGAATTAAAGTCTTTTTAATATTTATTTCTGGAGACAAACGTAAACTATAAAAATGCTAAATAAATAAATATTCATGGATATTGTAATATATGAAGAATCAATGATGTGAAATCTTTGTTAAGGTTTAATTGAAGTCTTTGTTACTGTCAAATGACGTATCTATCTGTTCTGATATAATAATTAGACAGCGATTTCTGCAAGAACCAAATCAGAAGATTCGACTAATACGAATGTTTATAAATTTCCAGAAATGATAAATAACTTTCGAACGGAAATTGAACAGTGCGCGGGGATTAATTAAGCCCTGATATTAATCAATTTTTTTAAACATTTCGAATAATGTTAAATATTTTGAATAATAATAATTACGCAGACCGAGGAAATTACTTGAAACGATTTCTCCCTGAATTATTCGAAGGAAACATATTCTCATTTCACCTTTCATACTATCAACGTTCTGGATGTTTTCGCAAGCGGTTCGCACGTCGCGAACTGAACGTGGCCAGCTTGAAGAAGCGCATCAACATCGCGTTCCTGTAACATGATCCAGACATCGCGAAATACGGAAGATAACGTAATACAACTTACAGCAGTGTAGACGCACTTATATCACGATTTACATGCCCGGGCTTCTTAGAATTACTCCTATCAAACCGTCTCTGCCCCTTCTACGCTTTAATCCAAATCCTCCTGCCTCTTGATCTTTTCGCGAGATCGAGCACAAGTAAGTCATAGGAGAACGATACGAAAAGGATAGGGAGGCGTCTCTGGTGGGAGTCAGCGATTCAACTTACCTAGATCATCATCAAATAAGCGGGAACAGTCGCAGAGAGGATCGCGACATCAGCTCGAGCCATGCGTCTGATCCTTGGCTTTTTGATCCTCTGTTCGGGGACGGCGTTCTCGCAGTACATAGTAAGTTATTTATTTCGTTAATGAGACGTTCGCTTCGTTTAAAAATACGGTGCCCTTTGCCAGCGAATTACCAAATATTACACGTTACATTAAGTTTAAGAAACAGCTTATTAATGAAGCTACAAAAGTAGAAACACACGTGTGTCTTGGGTTTCCCATAACTGTCATAACATTCGACAAAACGGTCGTTCAATAAATTTGAAATCACCGTGAATTGTTGTTACGTATGCTTGTTTAATTCATTATTAAATTTCATGCTATTTCAATTATTATATAAAATGTGCATGCCGCTTCGTTGTTAATTGCGTTCATACTTAACGCTAGTGCACTAATAGTAAAAAGCTTGTTTGTTTGTTTTTTTTAAATAGTAATTTCCTATTTGTATAGCGTTTTATAATTTTTAGAAATACAAATCAAGTGCCAGCATGATTTAGAACCCCTTGAGAGAAAGATTTGAAGATCAAAGTTCGTGTGATAAGACGATAGTACATAGATAGATCGGCCCATAGCTAATTTCTCTAGTTTCGCGGTTCTCCTTCCTTTGACACATCTTTTGCTTTTTTTTATATTTGTACATTCGTATCACACTGAAAATACTTTAACAGCAGGAGAAAACGCGTTTCGATCGCTCGGTTCACGATGATTCTGGAGTACTTATCACGGATGAATATTTGCCGCTGAAAGAATGGTCGTTCTACGACTACGACACGGTAATAAATATGTACTTCTATCATAAAAATTCTACGCATGAACACCTCATCATGTTACATTGTTTCCAGAACTTTAAAGCATACAGAGACAAAGATGAAAACGTTTGTTATTTGGAGAAGATGGACGACAGCGTTGCTATAGAAGATCTTCCAGACTATGGAACACAAACGAAAATATCCAAAATACTCTACGCATCCACGAATGCTTTAACGAAATTAGAGGTAAATAATTGAACAAATTTGTAAGATCTTTTCCCATCGAAATTATTACTGCTTCCCTGTCCACAGGCGTGGCGAATTGCTGGCGGTAGGATAATGGAATTTTGTCACGGACGTGATTTAATTATGTTGCAAAATACAATACCGGTGATTGAACGAATGCCGGATCCCTTTTTCAATGTAATTCCGCAAGATGAAAACGATATCGTAACTAGACGAGTAGCTGACGTAGTTCTAATACCGCTGAAAAGTCGAGCCAAAAGGCAAGTAATTCTCGAGGAGCGAGAGAAACATAATGAAAATCCTAATCGAGCTCGTATGCGACGACAAGCTCAACAATCCCGAGGAAGGTTCCGTGGACAAACGCAGTCTCAGTATTTGAGCTTGGGTAACGAGGAGCGTAAAGAAGGCAAAGCCGAAGCAGAAGCTACGCAACAATCGTCCCGTGCCATAGTCAGTAAGTATCTCAAAAGACATTTTTATTTAATTTCTTATTTCGACCGAAATACAAAATACAAATTTCAAACTTATTTCAAGGTGGAAGTCGTGGCATGGGCCAAGCGCAAAGTATGTCGTTTGGAAGCTCCGGCTGTGAAGACTGCCTCAAATACACTAGCGAGGGTGCACCGGATGGAACTGTATACCAAATTGGTACTGTATAACAAAGAAAAACTTAATCAAACAATATTGCACCGAAATCAACTGTATCACGGGATTCAACAATTATAGGAGGAACTTATCCTGGTACAGTCGACAGAGGTGGTACCTTTTATCCGGTCGGTACACCTGGCACTGCAAGAGATAAAATTACCTACCCGAGTGGAGTACCTGGTACTCCAACAACTGGAGGTGGAGTACTTTATCCCGCTGGAGTACCTGGTACTACAACAACAGGAGGTAGAGTAGTTTATCCCGCTGGTGTACCTGGTACTACTACAACTGGAGGTGGAGTAGTTTACCCTGGTAGTGTCCCAGGTACTACAACTGGAGGTGGTGTGGTTTATCCTGGTGGTGCACCTGGCACCACAACAACTGGTGGCGGAGTTACTTATCCTAGTGGTATACCTGGTACTACAACTGGGGGTGGTGTAGTTTATCCTGGTGGTGCACCTGGTACTACAACAACTGGTGGCGGAGTCACTTATCCTGGTAGTATACCTGGTACTACAACTGGAACCGGTGTAGTTTATCCTGGTGGTGGACCTGGTACTACAACTGGAGGTGGTGTAGTTTATCCTGGCAGTGTCCCAGGTACTACAACTGGAGGTGGTGTAGTTTATCCTGGCGGTATCCCAGGTATTACAACTGGAAGTGGTGTAGTTTATCCTGGTGGTACACCAGGCACCACAACAACTGGTGATGGAGTTACTTATCCTGGCGGTATACCTGGCACCACAACAACTGGTGGTGGAGTTACTTATCCTGGCGGTATACCTGGTACTACAACTGGGGGTGGTGTAGTTTATCCTGGTGGTACACCTGGTACTACAACAACTGGTGGTGGAGTCACTTATCCTGGTAGTATACCTGGTACTACAACTGGAAGCGGTGTAGTTTATCCTGGTGGTGTACCTGGTACTACAACAGGAGGTGGAATAGTCTATCCAGGTGGTGTACGTGGTACTACAACAACAGGAGGTGGTGTAATTTATCCTGCTGGTATACCTGGTACTACAACAACAGGAGGTGGTGTAGTTTATCCTGCTGGTATACCTGGTACTACAACAACAGGAGGTGGTGTAGTTTATCCTGCTGGTATACCTGGTACTACAACAACAGGAGGTGGAGTAGTTTATCCTGCTGGTATACCTGGCACTACAACAACAGGAGGTGGTGTAGTTTATCCTGCTGGTATACCTGGTACTACAACAACAGGAAGCGGTGTAGTTTATCCTGGTGGTACACCTGGCACCACAACTGGTGGTGGAGTTACTTATCCTGGTGGTATACCTGGTACTACAACTGGGAGTGGTGTTGTTTATCCTGGCGGTGTACCTGGCACTACAACAACTGGCGGTGGTGTCACTTATCCTGGTAGTATACCTGGTACTACAACTGGAACCGGTGTAGTTTATCCTGGTGGCGTACCTAGTACTACAACAGGGAGTGGTGTAGTTTATCCTGGTGGTTTCCCTGGTACTACAGCAACAGGGGGTGGAGTAGTCTATCCGGGTGGTGTACCTGGTACTACAACAACAGGAGGTGGTGTAGTTTATCCAGCTGGTATACCTGGTGGTGCTATTACTTATCCTGCTGGTGTTCCTGGTACTGTGACAACAGGAGGTGGTGCGATTTATCCTGGTGGAATACCTGGTGTAGGCTATCCTGGCAGTACACCAGGTACTACTGCTGGTGGTGTTGGTGTTATTTATCCTGGTGACAGAACTGGTCCAGGTGGTCAAATTATAACGGAGTCAAAAGCAACAACAGATACTAAAATATATCCTGGACAGATTCCTAGTTATCCAGGAGGTATAATTCCTCAATCAATTGGCACACCTGGTACACCTAGCGTAATACCAACAAATGTGGGTATTTATCCTGGAAGTACCCAGACTGGAACACCAGAAAGTGTTCCACAGCAATTACATTATCCTGGTGGTATTGCACCTGGTGGTACAAATGTTATTCGTACTGGATCTGATGGTAAAATGATATATTATCCTGAAAGTACTCAATTTAAACCTGGATCAGGTGTGTCTCAACCAGGAATCCAGATAGGACCTGATGGTAGAGTGATTAATTATCCTAGCACATCTGGGCCAGTTTCCTCTCCCTACCCAGTACAGCAAGGACAGTATCCAAGTGGTACTACATGGCAAGGCGCACAAGGTCCAACCATTCCTGGAGGTATTAGTAGACCAGGAGAGTATATAAGCGGAGGACAGAAGATTGGACAACAATACCCAACTGAAATGAGACCTACTGGGGAAGGTGCTCAGTATTACCAACAAGCTGGTAATATTCCATCTGCAGAAGATGATAACTCTAATTCTCAAGCATCTAGTTCTGTAAAACAAACAGACTCGGGAACACAAGCAAGTGCATCATCTCAAGGAATATATGGACAAGGTACAGCACAATCTCAAGTAACAGGTACATATAGTGGTTCTGGATCATTCTCTGCTCAAGCTGGTAGTAGTGATGCCAACAAAAGTGCTCAAACTGAAATTAGTGGTGGTAAAGATGGTGCTACAAGTAATGCTCAAGGATCAGGTGGCTATGGAAAGAGTCAAGCTCAAGTTCAATTGGATTCTGAGTCTGGTGCTACATCGACAGGTGCACAAAGTAGTGGATGGAATCATGGTACTAATTCTCAGGTGCAAGCAAGTTCTAGAGGTGGAATGGCAGATGCTCAAGCGAATGGGGAAGGAAGTACTTCTAGTCAAGCTCAAATTGGTTTCCAACCATACCTTAAAACAGATGAAAAACTTGAAAGACATTCGAGACCTTTCCATGGAGGTGGTACAGCTTCTGCACAAAGTGGCATGCGTAGAGGTCAATCTCAATCTCAACTTGAAGGTTCTTTTCAATATGGAATTACTTACAGTGGAGCAGCGCAAGCAGGATCTGGATCCGGAGCAGCAGCTTCCAGAAAACCATTCAAGTTCAACCTTACAGATACAGAATTATTCAAACCCTTCAAACCGCCTAATACTCCACAAATTACAAGAAGTAATGAGAGTTCGATAACAAATACATCTTCTGATAATGATTACGACCAAGATAAACCTACACAAGGCTTACAGTCAAGTTCGAGTTCCAGAAGAACAGTTTTTGCCAATGCAACAAGAGGAACTTCTTGGAGCGTAGATAATAAACACAATCAATCTGGTGAAAGATTGCACACAGATGATACTATGTATGATTATGAAGAAGAATATGATGATTATGATGCATCGCAAGTACAAACTTCAAATGCAAAGTATTCCAAAAATTATATTGTAGAGCAAAATAATAGCGATTATCAGTCACAAATGGTACACGTCGCAACTGGAAACCAATATGACGTTCATGTACATCAGGACTCTACAGCAGCACAGCCTGGAGATATGCTTCAACCAGGACAATCATTGTCAGGATATACCATACCACCCGGATTTCGTGGAAGAGTAAAATCTGTAGCTGGTGATGAAACTATTGCCCATGGTGATGGTAAATCTCAATCTCAAACAGTTTCTCTAACTCCACTAAAAACTGACATTACTTATGAGAATAAATCACCAAGTTCAGAAACCAGATCACTTAAAACCAACCATGAAAGATTAGCTGAAAATAACATTTTGAACAAAGAAAAATATCAAAAACAAAATTCTTTCAATCATCAACATCAACAAACATCCACAGATCGTTCCAAACCAACAAGCGTGCCGATAAAACCAAGTTATTATACAGTAACAAATAGCTTCGCTGGAAAAATGGATAGTAAAAATTCACCAAAAAAGTATGAACATCGCTATTACACTAAAAGTTCTACTTGTGGATATTTTACATTTTCCTGTAATATTGTGTATGGTTCTAATGGTAGGACGAAAATTTGCAAACCAAAAATGCCAACATATCCTGATGGTACCCCAATGAAATGTTAATCAGATGTTATTCATTCTATAATAAATTTTTCTTCTCACTTTATTTTCATACATTACTCCA